TTGTGTTAGATATGTAAATACATAAAGAATTGAGTTGTATGTACGTGCATACTTCCAAAATAAAAAATCAAATAATTTCTAAGTTCGAGCTCAAGCACATATTTGAGCCCGTATATTGTTTGAGCTCGAGTCAGACCCAACTCGACGCGAGAGCTTAACGAGATAATCAAATTTGTAAATATAAAAAATGAAATAACAATCTCGCACTACTCCAGCTAGCCCTCTAGATTTTTCTCTACCCTTCCTACCACCATGGACGAAAGAAAAATGTCAGGAAAACCTAAATCTTTTAATGCTCGACCTTACCAATATCACCAAGATTTTTTCCACCCTTCATGCCTCCACAACTTGCTTATCTTGTTTGCCAGTCATGTCAGACTCGTTTTATTTAATGAAAGTCTCTTTGTTAGACTTAAATATAACACTTAGTAGCCATATACACATTTATGTTTAATTGATCTATGTTGATTGTAGTTGATGATGTTGATTTTTGTAACGGTTCATGTTATCTATGGATATTCATACATTAAGGTCATGGATGTACAATAAATTTATCCAGATAGAAAGAATCACTGAATAGTTCTTGAATGGGGTCGAGGCCTTCGTGGCAGCTGTAGCTAATCTTACAGTGCAACTATATGAGGGTAAGTTTTGGAGTTCATGTTCGAAACACAGAAGACAACACACTTAACGCGACTGAAGTCAAATACGATTTATATCATTGAAGATTTAAACTTGATTATTGTACTGGACTTCACATGGCGAGGTCGACCTTAATATGTAACTCTACTCCTTCAATGAGCTATGGCCGTAACCTGAATTTCACAAGTTGATTTGAGAAAATGTTCTTCAATGGTACATGACAATATTATCCAAGTCGAGTGGAGGAAGATGCACCAAACTCAAAGGCCGTAGTGGGAGGTTTACACAACTATTATGAGTTATTTGTAGCTCTCAGAATGCTAAAAATTATAGTCAAGTTTAACATGTCATGATAGTGCTTCAATCAGGTAGAATTATTGAAAGAGACAAATTCATAAGAAAATTTAATCCAGTGTAAGGGATAAAGGAAACGAAGATTAATTGTTCTGTGAATAGATGTATGCTTTTTTACAAGTCAAGTAAATAGATACTCAGTGTAGATGTTGTCGTTCTCCAACATTCAAACTTCATAATAGAAAAAGTAAGAGGTAGAAGGATGTTTCATATAAGTAGTTTTTTATCTACAACTATTCCACGTCTTCAGAGGCTATTTTATTCTTTGTGTACTGCTCCGCATTCGATGTGGCATTGTAGCAGATCAGAAGAAATCAACTCACTGAGTCATCCTGTAGATAAGGATGCATGCAAATATTTTGAGCGCACATATTCTGAGTTCCCTTAGGAGGCACGTAACACCGCGACTTGGCCTATGCTCTAATGGTTTCTTACCATACAGTTAAAACGTGTCGCCCTACCCTTGTTAGCCAGTGATCATTACACCATACAATCTATCACCTGAAATGTGCATGCCCACACCATTCTTATTCTTGAAACTATTTATACTAGGTCACAGTAGCCTAAAGATGGGTTGATGTAAACTTGTAGTCGTTGATAGATGAGCTACATATTCTCTGAGAAAGAGATGTCACGACATATGATGTTTCAATAAAACATAATTTTCAAATGGAAGTAGCCTTATTGTGGACAATAAGTGATTTTTTTTTGCATATGACATATTACCTTGATGGATCACTGCAAGAAAGTTAGCTTTTCCATATTGCATTAATTCATATAAGGCATTTACATTTCAACATCATAGAAAGAATTTGCGTTTGATTCTCATCGCAAACATCCCTTCAGGTGAAACAAAAATACATTCAGAAGAAATAAAATTGAGAAATCATTGTTACCTTTAAGAGTATCTGAGAAAAATTATTCCAGATTGTTAACAAATTTTAAATATTATTGTTAGCCTTGAGCTTTTTAACATCATCCACCAGGCTTTGTTTATACTCATAACATGCAAAAAAAAATGTATTTTTTTTATCTGCCTTATTTGGAAGATAACATGATCAAACACAATCTTGATGTCATGTATATAGTTTTTTTTTTTGATAATATCTTCAACACTGTGATGGATGTAAAGAAAAAAAATAAGGATAACGTGAATGTTATACTATATATGAAGGAGATTCGCAAAATCGGAAGTTAGAGATCCAAGAAACTATTGTTGACAAGATTATCAAGCCTAAAGCAAAATACTCTCTTACTTTGGAATAGTGTAGATTAATTTATGAGTGGCTTCAAGAATTAAAATTTTAGAGTGAATATGCTTCGAATTTTAGTCGCTGTGTTAATTTCGAGGGAGAAAAGATATTTGGAATGAGAAGCTACAACTGTCATATTTTCTTTCTAAATTTGTTGTAACTGCATTTAGCTGCTTACATAGTGAAATACTAAATTCACTGATTGAGATCAGTGTGTTCTTCAAGGAACAATGTGCATCTTGTCTTAAGCTTGATGACGTGCGATAATTAGAAGAAAACATTCCATTAATACTCATCGAGGTTTTATTTTTGTCAATACGAGGCTTTGAATGCCGTGTAGATTCACCGATTTGGTTATTTAAATAATTGAGTATGTCATCAGAAGTGACATACCATCCCGAAAGATAGAAATACAACTTCACAATGGGTCTGATTGTTTACATTAAGAAATTCAAGATATTTGCATTGGTCTACGATTAAATCGACAAATATTTCTCCTATTTAATCTAAAGACCATATAGGGTTTAGATTAAATATGGGGTCTTCAACTTATTATAAGTGTAAGCCCTTACAGTTAATTACATCTAATGCAAACAAAGTTGCTTAAGAAAACTCTCGATTAAGGCTATGTTTTTGTCCTCAAGAAAATTTCTGAGTCTAGCCATCCACGATTAGATATAAAATTTCCAAATGGGAAATGCTAAAAAAATTGAATAGCTATTAACGTAGGCCAAAGGGAGAAATAATGGGAGACATTGAAGCCATTGAAAAAACCTCAGTAATGTCCCAAACTATCTTATTG